TGTGTCATGTGGAGGTCAGAGGACACACTGGTACATTTAGTTTTCTCTCCCCACCTTTATTTACGTGAGGTCTGGGAACTGACCTAGAACTTTTTCCCTTGCATGCACACTTACTGACTCTGGGTTCTTAACAAAGACCTTGGTACTCCCCATCTGGTACTGGTCTGGCTCCATGTTGACAGCACGAAGCAGATGCTGGACACCCTGGCGTTCATCTCCATGCCACCGTGGCCATGTCTCAGGGGTCAGAATGGCATACCTGGAGGCGGAAGGCATGAGGGTGTGGGGGATTTGGAGCAGGCCCATGGCTGGCCATTTCAATAGTCGAGGCAGTCAAGGCAGGGAAGACAGGTGCCTTACCTCTGCAGGAATTTAGCGAACTGTCGACGGTAGGCAAAGCCTGCCCTTCGAACCCGGATATTCTCCCTCAGGCCCAGGTATTCCACCTGGTGCTTCACCCTGTGGGAGGGAGGTGGCCTGAGTCTTAGAGAGTGGGAGCTGCCCAGAGCAGACTAGGGGCATGGAACCTGGATTTGTGGTTGGGGCATCTCATGGGTTGACTGGTCTGTCTGTTTGTCTGTCTGTCTATTGTCTATCCATCTACCTGTCATCTATCCATCTATCCTCTATCCTTCTATTATGTATCTGTCTGTCTATCTGTCTATATCAATCAATCATCTATGTGTTTATCTATCGGTCTGTCTGTCAGTCTATATCCAGTCTATTCATCCATCCTATCCATATCTATCAATCTTATATCTATCCTTTGATCATCTATCACCTATCTATACATCATCTATCTATATGTTATCTGTTTATCATCTATCTATATCTGTCATCTGACTACATATGGTCTATCTATAGTCTACATGTCTGTCTGTCTGTCTGTGGCTAGTGTCTCTTTTTGTAGCTCATCCCAGAGGTTGGTTCTAGGGTCATCTCTGGGGTTTAGGTCTGAGAAACTGGGTTTGGATTCTCTCACAGTCGGTCTGGGGTTACCTGGGGATTGGTGGGGGGTGCCTCCATCAGTTCTGTCTATAACTCTGGGGCCACAGAAATTTTATATTTTTATTGGTGTGTGTGTGTGTGTGTGTGCCTGTGTGCGTATGAGCATGTCACTGTATGCATGCGGCAGTCAGAGGACAATTTACTGGTGTTGGCTCATTCCTTCTACTGTGTGGAGCCCAGGACTGAACCCAGGTCGTCAGGTTTGGCAGCAAGCGCCTTTACCTACTGAGCCATCTCACTGACTCCCTAGAGGATTGAAAGGTGGTCTGGAGGGGTCCAAAGTTGGTGCTTTGTTGTGGGTCGAATGTAAGTGACCGGTCAAAGGAGTGCCTAGCTCTGTTCGGGAGTGAAGGGGAGCTCATTCACCTGCTCTCCTCCCAGTCCCGGGGCCGCTTGGTCTCATTGGGCTTGATGCAGCGGATGTAGTGGGGTGTGCACTTCTTAAGCGTGGACACCAGGTCATTGGCTTGTTTCTGAGGCGGAGGGAAAAGGCAGGAGTGAGGAAGGTTTGAGGATGCGTAACCTGCTCTCCCCATCAAGAAACATTCATCCAAGATGGGAGGAGGCTGATTGGGCAAGCCACAGGTGTGCATATGCCCTCAGCTCCCTCCATGAGGGCGGGGCAAGCCACAGGTGTGCATATGCCCTCAGCTCCCTCCATGACGGCTGCTACTGTACATCTACCCAGCTCTTGAACCCCAAACTTGGAGGTCTCATGTCTACCACACTTACCACATAGCCTAACACATAAGTACTTAGGAGATGTCTGATGACTGAGTAATAGAAAAACCAGAACAACAACAGACTTCCTCCTGTCTTCAAGGGGACAGCAACTTTGGAAATAAGGAACTTGCATGTGGGGGTTGGGGTGTCAGCCTTGGACTCTTGGGCAATGTACTTTAGTCATTTGGGGAAAGCTGTGGGGCCAAGTAGGAGGACTAGGGAAGTGGCATGAGGCATGCAGTGTGACCCGTAGCTGCCCTCTCTGATCCACGGCATCTCCTTCTGCCTAGTGGGACTGAGCCATTTTTTTGTGTGTGTGAGGATTCTGCATCTGCTACCATCACAAAGTCCTCAGCAAACGACTGTGAATGTGGGCTTAGGATGGCTCACTGCAGTGTTATTAACCCTCAGCAAAAGGTGGACCCAGCCCTTCTGCACAGTGAATGAAATACAATCGCACAGTGGGGTATCATTCAGCCTTAAGAGGTAGGACTTTCTGACACAAACTCCAGCAGGGATGGCCCCCGAGGACATTATGTGAGTGATGCAAGCCAGACAAATTCTGGGTGATGCCACTCACAAGAGGTGTTTAGAACTACCAGATCTTTCTAGACAGAAACTAAGACGCTGGAAGCCAGGGGCGGGGGAGTTAGTTGTGAATGGGGACAGAGTTTGAATTTGGAAAGATGAGAAGGTTTGGAGATGGCTGTGAACATAGCCAATGTCACTTAAAGTGGGTAAGACAGCCCATCCTTTAATATGTGTGTATATTTGTATTTACACCTTTTTTTTTTTTTGGTATTTACGAGACAGGGTTTCTCTGTATTGTTTTGGAGGCTGTTGGTCCAGCCTGGCCTTGAACTCACAGAGATCCGCCTGCCTCTGCCTCCCGAGTGCTGGGATTAAAGGCGTGCGCCACCACCGCCTGGCTAGTAGCTTTTTTTTTTTTTTGGTGTATTTACACCTTTTAAAAAGAAGTGATCTGGAAAGTGTAACCCAAGGATAGCATGCATGCTTAGCATGTGCAAGACCTTGGGTTCTGTCCCCAAGCACAGGAAGGGAGGGAGTTAGAGAGGAAGGGAGGGAGGAGAGAGGGAGGAAAGATGGAGGGACAGAAAGAGGGAAAGGAAGGAGGAATGAGCTTCAGACAAGGATGGGGAGGGAAAGGTGGAAGGAAGGGGAGAGGGAGGGAGGGGAGAGGGAGGAAGAGAGGGCAGAGAAAGGGGGGAAGATATGGGAAGTGAAGGAAAGGGAAAGGAGGGATAGAGACAGGGAGAGAAAGGGAGGGAGAGGAGGAAGAAAAGGAAGGAAAGACAGATGGCCCAAACTGTGGTCCATTTTTCTTCCTAAATCCAGAGCCGAAGGAAGACCCTATAGGCCAAAGGGCACCACAGACATTGAGAACCTAAATTCGGGGAACAGACAGGCATTGGAACAAGGAGATAAAGAGTCTGGGCAGGTGGGACTTGCCTCCCCTGTCGTCCCCTCCCTGTCACCAGGCCTACCTTGATCTTGGAGCCAGCAGTACTGGGGCGACCCTTCTTGTCTACATCCAGCTTCTCAGGAAAGAGCATGCGTAGGAAGGCTCTAGGCACGAGAGAGGAGCGGATGGTAATGCAGACAGACCCTGGGGCATCCTCTTTCTTCCCTCAGAGTTGTAGGGGTCACCTCAGTGCCAGATGCAAAGAGGGTTCTCTCTGACTGGGGACAGGGGCCGTGACGTTGGCACTGTCTCCATGTCTCTGGATTTATCTGCACTTTTTAGTCTTACTCCATGATGACAGCAAGTCACACAGTATGTTAAATACAATAGAGACATGTGCAAACTGTGAGGGTATACACCTGTCATCCCAGCACTCAGGGGGTGGAGGTGGGAGAAGTTCAAGTTCATCCTCAGCTGTAGAGTGGGTTCAAGGCCAGCTTGGGCTATATGAAACTTTGTGTGTGTTCGCAACCAAGAGAGAGAGAGAGAGAGAGAGAGAGAGAGAGAGAGAGAGAGAGAGAGAGAGAGAGAGAGAGAGAGAGAGAGAGAGAGAGAGAGACTTGTCCTCTGTCCTGGAATTCACTATATAGACCAGTTTGGCCTCGAACTCACAGAGATCTGCTTGCCTTTGTTCCCGAGTGCTGGGATTAAAAGCATGCACCACTGTGCAAGCATGAGAGAGAGCCCTGTCTTAGAACAACAACAACTAACAAGGGCCTGGGGTACGACTTAGTTGGCAGGTGGCTGCCTTGCATGAGCACAGCATCATATATGCCAAGCACAGTCATGCATGCCAATAGTATTGCGGCTGCACAACCAGAAGTTCAAGGTCACCCTTTGGTTACACAGTGAGTCGGAGGTCAGCCTAGGTGTTGGGATGATGGGTGTAGGACATCACATCTAGTTTTCTGTGGCACTGGGGATGGGATCAAGGGCTTCCTGTATATTTGGCATGAACTCTACCAGCTGAGCTATACTTGAAGGCCTTCTGTCCCTTTGAGGCAGAGTCTTGTGGAGCCCAGGATGGCCCTGAACTCACCTGCCACCTCCACACCCTGAGTGCACAACCATGTTTGTACAGTACTGAGGAGGGAATCCTGGGCTTGCCTAGAATACCAACCGAGCTGTGGCGCCAGCTCTGGAACGTGTTTTCACTTTGCGTAAAGGGCAACTATCCAATCACTGGACTGTGGGGATGGCAGGGAGGCACTATGGATGAGACATGAAGGTAACTGAACTCAGGGGCTTCCTCTGGGGAGGGACACAGAGTCAGCAGATCAAGGTTTCTTGATCTTTTCTTTTTTCCTTTTCCTGTCCTAGAACCGGAATCCAAGCCCCACACTCTAGGGGGCACCCATGACTGAGTTACACCCCCCAGCCTTCAGGGTTTTAGATCAGAGCCATGTCTTGACCACACAACCATTGTCACAAAGTCCACAGTACAACCAAGTTCTGGGGAAGACACGGTAGTTCCCCGGTCTCTATTCCTTGGGGGGGGGGTTGGTCCCAGAGGTCTCACGGGACAACTCACTGGTCACTGGACTGCATCAGTTCTATAAGGTCGGAGAACAGTACATCTCTATTCCTCTCACAGAAGCCACTGACGTTATAGGAGACCTGGAGGGAGACAACGTTGAGGGTCGGTGAGGAGCAAAGAGCTTCATATGTGAATGTCGGGGCAGGTGGCCTGCCCAGAGCTCAGAGGAGTGGGGTTACAGGCAGTTAGACGAAATCTGTGGTTCCAAATGGTGGATTGTGATCTATTGTTTGGGGCTTGGTTCCCCAGGAGCCTGATGTTCAGTTGAAGCTGGAAGATGAAGGCTGGGGTTGGAGGTAAGTGGAGAAGCCCAGGTTGAGAGTCAGGGCTGAAGGTTTGATCAATAGCAGGGAAAGGTGGGAAGTTATAGGTCAAACTCAAGGGTAGGGGATTGAAGCTAGGACAGGTCCCTGGGATTAGGATTAGGTATCTGTCCTAGCATATGTGGAGTCCTGAGGCAGATGTTGGCTGTCTTCGTTCAGAAGGTTATATTGAGTACTGGGTGTGTGTACCAGCATAGAAGAACTGTGGTGACCTGTTGTTTCAATTGGGTTCCATCTGCCATATCTGTTGGGAGCTGCCTTGTGAGTTGGGTAAACTGATTAGAGGCCAGTGTTTGTCTGCAGCTCTGGCTGAGGGGACACAAGGCAGGTGTCCAGGCGATTAGGGGGAAACGTCCCTGGTTCTGGTCAGGATTTGCAACCTGGACCCCGGGAATATTTGAAGGGGCGCCCGCCCGGAAGGGAGTTCCACGCACTTTGCCTGCGTAGTGATGGATGACGAAACCTGCGCTCCAGCTGTTGAAGTGCTCGTGGGTGCCCACTGCGGCTTGCAGCTTCTGCAGCAGCGTCTGGTCCGCGCCGCCGCCGGTGGCGTGCATTGTGGCACACACGTCGTCTAGCACGCTCATGATGCCTGGGGGGTTCTGAGGGGAGTAGAGGTCCCTGAGTGAGCTGGCGGGGGCGGGCTGGGAGGTGACTCCTAAATATAAGCTTAAATTGTGATCTTTCTCGTTCCCTTCCCTCTGCCTTCCTCTCCTCTTCTCCCCCTCCTGGAGTGCACGGAATCCGTGCCTTTTCCCCCTCCCCACACTGTTATCACTTGGAGGGATCTCCGTGACTCTGAAAATGTTACATATGGGAATGTTTGCTGAGTGAATAAAAGAACAGCGAACAGGTGAGCGGAAGAATCATTGGATGGGGTGGCTGGAAGGTATTTCAGGGATGGGCTCCTAGGATATCATAAACCCTTTCCAGACACACTGATTTAGCTTCGAAGCCTGGAGAGATTCCCCCAACCCCCTAAAGTCAGCTCAGTTCTCACCAGCTTGTTCTCGATGAGGTCACACACGACTTTGTTGTTGAAGTATTCGATGGGAGTCCAGCGGATGCCCTCCTGCACGTACTCCTCCTGGGAGTGGGGGATAAGGCAGTGTGACACCTGCCCCGCTCCCCGCTTCCCCATCCCATCACTCATCCCCCGGAGGATATCTCTGCCTCTGATCCCCACTGACCTACAGCCAGCAGGGGTTGTAAATAAATAGCCCAGTGCCCTCATTCCTTTCCTAGACCAACTCAGTGGTATTTTGTGACACCGCTGGGACTCAGCAGGATCAGGGGAAACAGTTGCAAACATAGCCTGCCCAGGAAGATTTAGGCTTTGGGCTCTTTTTATTTTTATTTTTTTGAGGAGGGTCTCATGTAGTTCAGGGTGCCCCTGAACTTAATATGTAGCCAAGGATAACCTTAGACTCCTCTTGCCCCCACCTCTGGGTGATGGGATAACAACTGTGCACCATTACACCTGGCTTACGAAGTTCCGGGGATGGAACCCAGGGCTTTGGGTGTGGAGGCAAAACATTCTACCCACCGAGCCACATCCTCAGCCTGGGATCTTCTAAAATTCATTTTAAATCACCTTTTCTTTGTCCTTTCTTTGTCCCTGAACCCTTGCCTCAGGCTCTGCATTTAAGAGAGAGGCAACATTTAAGCAGATTTGTTTCGTTTTTCAGATGCTGGGGTTGCAACCCAGGAAGCCGGGCTGCTCTACTACTGATCTATGCACTCAAGACCTGGGCTGCTCTACTACTGATCTATGCACTCGAGACCCTTGGCAGAGGTTTCTGTGCTGTCTCTAGTTCCTCTACCCATGCGTCAAATAGTACCTGACCACAAAGCAGTTGCTCAAACAACTGTCTTTTTTTCTTTCTTTCTACGTTTCTTCTTCCTTCCTTCCTTCCTCTCTCCCTCCTCTCTTTCCTTTCCTCCCTCTCTCTCTCTCTCTCTCTCTCTCTCTCTCTCTCTCTCTCTCTCTCTCTCTCTCTTATTTCTCTTTTTTTGAGACAAGGTCTCTCTATGTAGTCCTGGCTGTCTTAGAACTCTTGATGTAGACCACAGAGATCCTCCTGCTTCTGCCTCTGCCTTATGAGTGTTGAGATTAAAGCTGTTCACTGCTACACCCAGCTCTATTTTTCATTGGACGTCCGTCCCTGCATCAGCTCTCCCTTGCTGGAATGACAATCATGCACCACCATGCCCAGTTTATTCAGCTGGGTATGGGCAAATGCTCTGTACCAACTGACTGACATCCCCAGCCTCCATTTTCTCTTTATAAATTGATATGTCTGGTATTTTGTTATAGTAACAGGGAACTTGTGTGTGGGGTCCCAAGTGCCTTGGTGACCCTTATACTCGAAGTCCTGTCTTCTGCCATTTGGCGGCCCTGCCCACCTGCTCTGCCTTCAGGGTGAGCTCAATAAAAATCTGTTGCAGCTTTTCATTGACGAAGTTGATGCAGAACTGCTCAAAGCCATTTTTCTGCCAAGGAAAGAAAAGGGTTTTTTACGTTAGTGGATGATGTTGGAGTCTTTGGAAAACACTGGGTAAACCCAGGATGACAGGAGGCAGAATAGGGTTGGGCTGAGGATGGCGGTGGAGGGGGAGGGTGTTCTGGGTCAAACCTGGAAGATCTCAAAGCCATAGATGTCAAGGACACCGATACTGTATTCTTCTTGAGGCTTCTGCATAGCACGGTTGATGGCCTATGGGCAGATGGAAATCGTGTCTGTGGGCATGTGGTCAAACCCGTGCCACTCATCACCACCCTGTTGTTATGTTTTGAAAACTGCTTTTCCCCCAGTGTGTGTGTGTGTGTGTGTGTGTGTGTGTGTGTGTGTGTGTGCGCGTACATCGTAAACATTTGTGCACACACGTGTGTGGAAACCAGAGGAGGGTAGTGGGTGCCTTTTATCACTCTCTACATTATTCCTTTGAGACAGGCTCTTTTCCTGAACCTGGAGCAAGGCTGACATCCAACAATCACAACAATCATCCTGTCTCTGCACCCTCATAGTACTGGGGTTGCGGTTGGGTGAGCTCACGCCTGGCTTGTTATATGAATGCTGGAGTCTGAACTTAGTTTCTCATAAATAGGTGTGTGTGTGTGTGTGTGTGTGCGTGTGTGTGTGTGTGTGTGTGTGTGTGTGTCAGAGGACAATTTCAGGTGTCCGTTGTCTACTTCTAACTTGTGTGTTGTGGAGATAGAACTCGTTGTCTGGCTCGGCAGCAAATGCCTTTCCCTAGCCATCTTGTTAACCCTTGATGTGTTTTTAGTTAAATTTGTGGCTTTGTCCCCTTTTGACAAATTTTCTCTAGTCTTTTAACTTCCATCTGAAAACCCAAGAGTTGAAGTATCACAGTTCTTGACTCTAGAGTCAGATCTTCCCACTGTACCTCAGCTTGCTCATCTCTAAAATGGACCAATAGCCTCACATGATGGCTAGTGTCTGTAATCCTAGCTCTCAGGAAGCAGCGGTCGGAGGACTGATGTGAGCTCCAGGCCAGCCTGACCTACAGCATGAGTTCCAGAACAGGCTGGGGATACAGAGCAGGATCTTGTCTTAAGACTAAACAGTTGAAAGACTGGAAATATGACTCAGTGGCTCTGGGTGGCTCCTGTTCTCTTCTAGAGGACACAAGTTCTATACCCAGAACCCACATCAGGTGGCCCACAACGTGATAGTTCCAGGGAATCTGATGTATCATGTGGGTATCTGGCATAAGTGTCATACTCAAGTCTAGCCTGGAATACTGGAGACTCTGTCTCAAACAAGCAGATGGACAGATTTGTAATAGCAAATACTAGTGGCTGGGCATGTGACTCAGTGTTAGGGGACTTTGTAGAGTATACATTAATCCATGAATTCCATTTCCACTACCACAAAATTAGTTAAATAAAAATTCCTGTAGTTTGATCATCTGTAATTGAAAATGCTTAGACCAAGAAGTGTTTTGCATTTCAGTTCTGAGAAAGATGCAGTATCTTGAGCATGAAATCAAGTTTATTTTTTTATTTACATATTTGAGATAATGACACTCTGTGTAGCTCTGGTTGACCTAGAACTCACTATGTAGACCAGGCTGCCCTTACAGAGATCTATCTGCCTGCCGCTGCCTCCTGCGTGATGGTTTTAAAGACATTCCACCATGTCCAGCAAAATCCAAGTTTAAGCATGAAATTCACTTACACATCATATACACTGTGTGCAGTACTCATAGTGCACTTTTTTGTTTTAAATATTTATTTATTTTTATGTTATGTGTTTGGGTGGTTTGCCTACATTAATGAATGTCTGTGAACAACATGCATGTAGTTCATTAAGAGGCCAGAAGAGGGCAACAAATTCCCTGAAACTGGAATTAGGGATGGTTGTGAGTCACGACGCGGATGCTGGTTACAGAACCTGGCTTCTACAAGAGTGGTATTCCCTTTTAACTGTTGAGCTAGGTTTTAGCTGTGAGCCATGTATGCAATCTGAGACGGAATTTTCCACTTGTAGTTTCATGTTGGTGTTCAAAAGTTTGGAATATTGAGGTATTTTGTAATTATTATTTTTCAAATTAGGGATGTTCAACCTATACTTTAATTAGGTACTTTTCCTCCTCCTTTCTTTTGTGTGTGTGTGTGTGTGTGTGTGTGTGTGTGTGTGTGTGTGCACTCATGTGTACATTTGTCACGTCAGACACAGAACCCAGGACCTTATGAATTTTATCACTGAACAACACCTTCTATCTTTTTATTATTATTATTATTTTTTCGAGACAGGGTTTCTCTGTGACTTTGGAGCCTGTCCTGGAACTTGCTCTATAGACCAGGCTGGCTCCAAACTCACAGAGATCCACCTGCCTCTGCCTCCTGAGTGCTGGGATTAAAGGCATGTGCCACCAACGCCCGGCAACATCTTCTATCTTTATGGGAATTTTAAAAAATATACATATATACTGGGGAGGAGGCTTGGTATATAATTTTGTGTGTGAGTTTGTGTTTGTGCATAGGGGTGTGTGTGTGTATGTTTAGGTGTCCATATACACACAGTTGTGTGCACAGCCTTGGCTGCTGCTCCCAGGGTACTGTTTATCTTGGGTTTTGCTTTTAGCTTTGTATTTGATGCAGGCTCTCTGTGAGGTCTGAAACTCTCCAAGTAGGTGAAGCTGGCCAACAGCGCTCTGCCTCTCTATGCCTCCACAGCTTTTTAAAATTACATTATTTGTGTGTGCACGTGCTTGAGTGTGCACACTTGCACGTAATAGTGTGTGTGAGGAGATCAGAAGATGGTTTAGGGAACCCGTTCTCTCTGTTCACCACGTGGGCTCGGGGATTCAAGCTGAGGTCCTCAGCGTTGGCGAGACACTCCTTTATCCACGGAGCCATCTCACCAGCTTCGTGCCCGGCTTTCTTAAAAATGGAGATGCCGGGCTGGCAAGGTGGCATGGTGGGTGAAGATGCCTGGTGACAAGCCAGATGGATGGTGAGGTTGATCTCAGGGACCCATATGGTGGAAGGAGAGAACTGAGTCCTTCATGTTGACCTCTAACATCCACACACATGTTGCTGCGTGCAGACACACGTGCACACAAAGTAAATAAATGAATGTACTAAACTTAAATGTGGGTTCTAGTGGTGGAACTCATGTCCTCATGCTTGCAAAGCAGCCACTTCATCAACAGAGGACTCTCCCTAGCTCTTACGTAAAAATAAATGTCGGGCATAATGGGGTATCCCTTTTATCCCAGCACTCAGGAGATAGAAGCGCCAATCTCTGTGAGTTTGAGGCCAGCCGGGTGTCAGTAGAGTTCCAGGCTGGGTTACATAGTGAGATCCTGTCTCAAAAGAAAGAAAGAAAGAGAGAGAAAGAAAGAAAGAGAGGAAGAAAGAAAGAAAGAAAGAGAGAAAGAAATAAAGAAACCTAACCATAACCCTAACCATATAGGGTTAAAGAAAAAACCCTATAGGGTCATTCTATGCAGCCCAAGGTGGCCTTGAACTCATAGCCTTCCTGCCTCAGGCTCCTGAGTGCTGGGACCACAGGTGGGCATCACCATGTCTGGCTCCTCTAACTGTTGTATGTTTGTTAGTACTGTGGTTATCACTGGCCCTGCCACGTACTGGTCCCTTCCACTCACCCCACCCAACCCCATACCTATCCCTTCGTTTCCTTGACGACCATCTTAGCTCTAAAATGTACCCACCCTCTCTATCAGCATCACTGTGACAGGACCTGGAGGGCTTCAGCAGTGCCTCCGTTTGCAAGTTGTCCAAGCTGAAAGCTGCACTTGACCCCCTCAGAACTGGTGAGATGGTTTAGTCAAGCCTGTCTTCCCACTCGTCTGCCCAAATGCCATGGTCTTATTAGGCACTAGACATCCAAAGACTTTCCAGCACTGGTCCCACTCACCTCCACCAGGAAGTCGAAGAGGCGGGCGTAGAGTCCCTTGGCCAGTGCGTCCCGAGTGTAGGCTGCCTGTTCCACATTGAGGGTCACGTCAATGGACTCACTGCGTCCACCCCACTTGCTGTCCATCTTACGGCTGGTCAGCTTCTCTTGCAGCCGCCCACTGTCTATGCCCAGCAGGTAGGCTGGGAAGGCCAAGACTGCCAGGCCAGAGCAGAAGGAAGCAGCTGGTCAGGCTCTCGGGATAAAGGAACTTCCCCGGTGACACCAACATGGTTCTCTTGTGATCGCAAGTGGGAAGAAGCCATCTGAACGCAGGAGCCTGACACCCGACTCAGTGGCACCCACACTCACGGTCTGCGCTCTCCACACGGGCGTAGTTCCCTTCTTCACAGAAGCTGATGTTCCCCAGGTGCAAGATCCCTGCCACAAGCTGTAAGACCAGCTGCTGCACATTGGTCGGAATCCCAATGACTTGCATGGCGTTCTGTGGGCACAACAGGGGCAGTTTATGCAACCTGCTTGGGTTCCACCTTGACGGCAGAATTAGAC